TTTCACCGCCCGACTCGCCAGCTCACAATCGAACTGTGGCTTGCTAGCTGCAGAATCCGACACGGCTCGAACCTTTCAAGTTACTTTTAATCTTGGGCAACTAGTGCAACCTGACGATTCTGCTAACATTAAGAGACGCAAAACCCCTGGCGGGTCGCGCCCTAGCCAGTCCAAAACGCCTGTCCCGAAGTACGAAAATTACAACCCCAAAGTCCAGAACAACAAACTCACGATAACCGATCCCAACGCCCAGCTTCACTTTACCCTTTTCAAACCGAAGCTTTTCGACTCTTGCAACAAGACCCTTCCCCGGGTATCCGAAGCTCTTAGTAAGGCTTGCAATTCGCAAACGGTCACCATTCAAGGATTTGTCAACGGTACTCGTAAAATCAAGGCAGTCAAAATGGTCATTGATGATAACGATTCTATTCAGCAATTCATGACCGCCACTCTGCTTGTTCCTGCTTCGACCGCTATGGGTTTCAAGATCCATCATGAGAACCCGAAACTTGCTGATTCCGCCACTCGTTTCATTGCAAATCTACGCTACGAGCCTGACCGAAACGCCGGCGAGGCATCCGAAGGATCCGACGGTGAGGTCTCCAACGCAGGCTCACAAGGTGTAAGTACTTATTCTCCCTTTACCTTTATTTGAACACTGCACTGACGTTCTAATTTTGTAGTCGGCCATCTTAAGCCTAGGCGAAAGACGACTTAGAACATTGATGACACGCTTTGCCAAAGACTTCAAGCGAGGTGAAAATGTCACCTCGGTGCCCAACCCGAAAAATCCAGGTGAAATCGTACTGCTTAATACCTCTCGCATAAGAACATGGGCCAATGATTGGGTAAGTTCAACATGGTTTATCGGTTGCCTTCCTCCCCCTCTTTTCGGTTAATATAGTTGACTTACATCTCCTTCGTACCAGGCTGACGGGGTGCGCGGTGTTGATGAAGTCAACCCACCTTCCAAAAGGCCCGAATTCCGTTGGATCCCAGTGGCCCACTACGAGATCGAGAAGAACAAACTCCTTGGGCTCAACCCACCTGCCTCGTCTGACGCTTCATCAAGTCTAGGAACGGTTGTTCACCATAATTACTATGGTCAACAACAGCCTTTGCCTGTCGCCCAATACCCTTCGGCATTGTACCCCCCCCTGCCTTTGCACATCCGTTCGGCGCCCCTCCCATGTATACCACACCAACCCCTGCGCCTCCCATGTATACACTTCCAACCCCTCCGGTACCGGTCGAATCGC